CGGTGTATATGAGGCGAAAGAATACGACACGGCAAGGGCAGTTTCTCCTCGACGCATGTTCAAGTCTGACATGTATCGACAAAGTGCCGGACACATGAAGAACACATTTGACAAAGCTTTCCTTCCCGTCGTCTTTCTACGAGCTCCCTGAGAGCTGTCAAATGCTGCGAGTGGCCTTGTTCAGCCGAGCCCCCACTACTGCCAGCAATTTATGACTGATCAGTTTATTACCCCGGACGCGTACATGTCAACTGGTAGTCCACTGACAACCTGGAAAGAAGCACATAGTACGGAGTACTACATACACACATTGCCTGGCTCCTGAATGTGGCGCTGGGGGTAATTGTACTCCGTACTGATGTGGTGGGGAGCAAGAGTCAGTGGCCTCGTTTCCACCTCACGCCGCATTAGAAGGCACCAAGTACCAGTACCTGGTGTATTACGAGCCGATCTAGGTGCTGTTATCGTTGTACTGGACAAGGGACTTTTAAGCATCTGGACTGACATTGCCTGCGTCATGCATCCCAGTCGGACGGCCACCTCGAGCACTTGAACTTTGAAACCTCTCTTACATCCCCAAGCCGGTCACCGCCTCTCCAACTTTTTGTCGCAACTGTTGTTCTTGCTCAATGGCACCATGAGAATCTTGATTATCCAAAATCTTGCGACATTCTCCGCGTAGTAACTCTAGCACGTCGCCATCTTGAAATGAATCTAGGTATAATACACAATCTGACAAGCATGCCACAGAAAACAAGACCCTCAATAAGTCGGGACCATGTCAAATACCTTGGGCTGAGATGCAGTTCTCGCAGTAAAAGAATCGCCCGCATCATCATTCTACTGAGCGGATTCCGCCCTGATTTTGCGTTCGACCTTGACAGTAATCTCCCCCCTTGGATTTTCCATATTCTTACACTTGCTCGGATAACCGACAGTGCGAATGTAATGAATGCGGACATGGTCTATGGTCGTGTCGTAAAGTTCCATGTCAAAGGTGCTGACAAGCGTCGCGATTGTCAAATAGAGCTCTGTATATGCCATCCTGCAGAAACGCACATGAGCTCTACCATGTCCGGCACATGCCGTGCAACAATTGTACAAAATACTTACTGGAGGCCAATGCACTGCCTGCTGCCTTTGGTAAAGTTGACAAGATATTTACCGAGCGGGAAGCCGTCTTTAGCTGCTTGTATCCATCGATCGGGATTAAAGGAGTACGGGTCGGGGTAGATTGTCGGATCAGTATGCACAAAGTACGACGACTGACTAACGGGGGTCTACACTCGGCATCAGTCTCTTCAGTGTAAAACTATACAGAAATATAAACCAGGAACTGCGTCTTACGCCCGGTGGGATCGTGAACCCGTTGTACTGCAGTGATTCATGGGCCGCCACGCGGGGAAGGCAGGCAACGACGCCGAATGACAGGCGCAAACTCTCGTGGACGACACCGCTCTAAAGTATCATTGATGGTAAACAAGTATCCTCGGTCTCTGTACCGGGAGCTGGCCCAGGCTTACCAGGTAGGGAAGCAGCTCGAGGTCAGACGAGGAGTACCCCCGGCCGGGAGTGAAGACGACGGAGCTCAACTCTTTGCGTATCCTGTGCACGTGTGTCTGGTCGTCTAGGAGGTAGAACATGCCGACGCTGAGTGCCCTCGAGGTAGTTTCTGTGCCGGCGAACACGATGACGTTTCCCTCGTCCAGTAACCGGTCAATGTCCCTCTCCGCAGGCGGGATCTTGGTATCCATGAGGGCCGACATGATGACCGAGCCCGACTCCACGCCGTCTTTTGTCTCGGAGGAGGCGAGAATCTTGCGCCTCATTTCTTCCCGCACGACGAGGAACTCTGCAAACGGCGGTAGTATCGCGCGGATGATGCATACTGGCGTCATCTGCATCACGGGTAACAGCCAGGGGACGAATCGTGTGAAGTTGGAAATGTGTGCCAGACCTAGTATAGCTTCAGTGACGGCGTTCTTGTAGTCCGGGATATCGAGATAGTTGAAATGCTCCCCGTAGAACCGCTGCGTGATGATGTCTGCGGTTAGCGACGAGAAAGCCCAGTCGAGGGGTACCGTTGCCCCCGTGTCCGCGGCAGATTCGAGCCGTTGGCAGAGCTTGGCGATGCGCTCCGAGATGAGCGGCTCCGTGGCGACGACGGCGCGCTTGGAGAAGAAGGGGTTGAGGTAGTTTCGTCGCGCGCGGTGTTGGTGGTGATCGGTCGTTGCGAGAAGCGACGACGGCACGGCGGCAAAGGGACCGACGGCCGAATCGGCCTTGTTGACGATTCGGCCGCCCCCGGCGTAGATGGTGCTGTAATAGCTGGAGTCGCGTATGTGCAGCTCGTGTGCGTTGATGCGAACGATTGGTCCTGGCATGAGTAGGCGGATGTTAGTTTGTAGGACGGGGATGCTGGCTGTAGGGCTTTGGAGCTACCGTATTTGTCGTGCATCTTGCCGATTTCCCAGAGAAACTGGCCGTCTTGAATGACGTCGTACCAGAATTCGTGGAACGGTCCCAAAACCGCCAGCTTGGGGCCGGGGAAGTGCCTCAACGGATGCAGGTATATGTTGTACAGGCATGTGCAAATGTAGATGCATGTGGTTATCCCCAGACCAGCCCAGAGTAGAGAGCTCAACTCCATCTGTCCACTAGTAAATATGCCGAGCATGGCGAGGATTGTTTCTCAGATGGCTTGACTTGAGCCTGGAAAACTGAGCGGCCGCTACACATCGTTGTTGGGAAGATTACCTGCATTTGTAGTTTCCCAACTCATGCCTCTGATGCACTTATGCAATGACCACATTTCATTGAACTGCATGTAGGTGCCAGTCTGATGGAACATGCGAATTGCTGGCTGCCTTATTTATTGCAGATGTGTGCAGGCGGCCCTGAAAGGATCCCAGTCACTACATATGTAGCGACGACCACGTCACAGGCTCCGATACATATCCATGCTCTCTCCCGCCCGGGTTGAATCCCGATACGGAAGAGTGTGACGTGGCGTTTGTGGCTGGCAATCTGGTGGGTGGTAGTTTTCACAAACTGGTACGCACGAGGATATTATTATCTCTTTTCTGCATTGATTGGTGTCACGACGGGGACGCAACGTGGTCAACTTGGCGTATGTCTTAGAAAACGTACATCTACAACAGGTATATGCAATAGTACAATGTTACGAGAAGGAACGACAGGAACATTACACAAGTCTTGAGTTGACGTTTGAATCCATCACACACTCGAGTGTTGAATCAATGTATTCCCGCCCCAGCCGGTTCTGCGCCCGTCCCAGTAGGGATGTTGCAGGGTCCAAGGACGGCATTTGTCCTGGTTTGTCTGATGCTGCATACGGTGAGGAGTAGCCCGTACACCGCAACATGGCAAGAAATGTGATTAATCCCTTTGTGACCAAGTTCTGCCGCAAAAGCAAAAACTCCCTTTCTAGTTGGCGTTGACTCATGCGACCGTGACACCTAGCCCCCGGTCCGGTCATGATCATAAAGCATTAGCCGTTCAACATGTTTTCTTACATACTACTTGACAGAAGATATATACAACTCCAGTCTCCAAATCAAGTGTATCTCTGTCCCGCGTGGATTGCGTTCCACTCTATGGATTCCATCAGCCGACAACTTTGACCACATGCTGCACGATAAGCGAACTGAGTAGTAGACACGATTGGCACCTACGAATCGAATACCAACAGTTGACTAGCCCTTGATGAAGTCAACCTGGACACGGATTCGGGGAAATAACCTTCTTGGAGAAATGTAACAACATCTCTATCCTCCTCCTTCGAGGTGATGAGAATATTACTAAGGCGGATTTCCTACCCGCGTTTTTCACCGCATTTAGATCTGCAATGACGGAACAAAATATCCAGGGTACCTTTATAGGTGCGGGCCTTGTTCTATTTGACCCAAAAAGTCAAGTCTTATTACGGCTGGATATGAGGCTGCGGACACTATCGCCAGTTCAGGAGGCTATTGAGCTACCACGCCCGTGGGTTCTAAAGACCCCAAATAACCCAACTGAGACAACTTCACAGACTAATTATATTAAAAGGCGAATAAGCCACCACCAAGGAAGCTCTTTAACGTTAATATTAGCGGCTGTAGATCAATTTGCGAAAGGAACATGCGGGCTTATACATAGGATAGCCCTATTAAAGGCGCAGGTCAACCAACTTTAAGAGGTAAATGTAATACTAAGCACGCGGCGTAGAGCCGGAAGAACGCGTCTAAGTCATGGAGGTAGTATAACTATTGCCGAGGGATAAGCTCTTTAGGACCAGAGTCACGTGGATAAGCAGATAACGCAAGAAGACCGGCAGACCAGAGGTCGGAAGCCCAGGGTTAAGACGAAGCGTCGACGATGTGGTGTGTGTGGAAAGTCCGGTTATAATGCGCAAACGTGTTAGATCGATGTGGAGGTATCTAATAAAGAGGGTAGAATTTAAGGTTAATTGATTTCCTTTATTGTGGTTGTTTTTTGTATCCTCTTTACAAGAACTTTATTTTAGGTGTCCAGCTTGCTATGCTGTCCAGCTCGCGATGCACCCACGTTAAATATTTTCTCTATATCATTTAGAAAAGATATAACATCTTAGAATAACATAGCTTTTGAGTGTATTTCTTTTCATCTCACGCTTTGCTCATTTAATATTTCCTAGTAGCTTTTATAGTATTAATTTGCGAGACTAAGCTACTAAACTATATATTGAACGTCACAGCGGAACATAGATGAAAAAGACTGCGTTGATTCTGTAAGCTAGAGATGCCGCCAAGGCACGCTATTTATAGAAGGCGCAGGCTGGACCCTGCACGTGATGCTGTTTCATGTTCAACACTATATGGACAAGAAATTTGCCAACTCTGCCTGACAGAGCTAAGCTTGCAATACTACAAAGCTGCTTAATACATAAGCGATACCCTAAGTAAAGGCCAACACTGTATAGAGACATTCGAACCCGGGGAATTTACTAATGAATCACCCTACCAAGGAATGGCGTGCTCGACTCCATTCTCGTCAATATAGATACCGACGTCGGCCTCGTGTGGGGGAGGGTAGCTGTCATCACCCTCATAGGTATATTCCGAATCAATACCGGTGGAAGCGTCTTCCGCATGCTCACGGAACACCTCGCAGCGCTCCAGCAGCTCGTTCTTCTGGTCCGCGTTGGCTAGCTTCTCGTTGGGGTCTTCCAGCTTCTCGCAGGCATTGAGCAAGTTGTTGATGGCCTTGACACGCTTCTCCTCGGGCGTGGGGGGATTCGGCTTCGACCCGTGAAGGCGGTCGCAAGCCCTGTCGACGTCATTCTTCCAGCGCTGTTCGCCGCGCATCCAGCAGATGAAGCGCAGCTTAAGCGTGTTGCCGTAGATCTCGGGCACCTGCGGGCCGCCAATGGCTTCCTGGATGCTGGTGATGGTGTCGTCGAACCAGCTGACGGCGTGACCGATGGGGTTGTCCCAGGACTTGACTATGGCTAGGACGTCGTGGGCATAGGGCGACAGCGCCTCAAAGGCGACGGCTGCGCCGGCACGGGCGCCGGCACGGAACTTGGCAGACACCTTGGCTCTGACGCGGCCGGCTTGGTTGAATCATGTTAGTCGACAGGCGTATGCCGTAACTTTTTGCTGTTTGAGCTTACCTTTTGTTGGCTCCGGCGTATATTTGGCCGGGTCGCAGGTGGCGCGCTTGCCGAAGAAGCCAAAGCAGGAGGGAGACTTCTTATAGGCATAGTTGTCGTTGTCGATCTTTGTGCTTCTAGAGTGCGGCTTATCCTTTGTCACTTCGTACGCGTGCGAAATGCTTGACCCGGGGATGCTGCCAACGACGGCAAACTCCCGGTTGCGAGCAACGGCAGGGTTCTTCTCTGGGGGATAGATGCCAGGCACCCAGTAGCCGTCCGGGATGTCCTTGGCGTTAATGACGTACATGTAGCCCGTGGTCGCCCTGTTAGGGCTGCGGCCAAACGCATACAAGTCGGCTTGTTGAGGCGACCGAGAGACCGAGACGAGGCCTGAATTGCCCCGGAAGCTGAGGTGGTTTTCCAGCTCCGTGTTGGTGCCCTGCGGCGCAAAGCCCTCGGCGAAGACGGCCGCTGGTGGGCGCGAGTCGCCGCGGTAGAAGAGGCCGTCTTTGCCGCCGCCGGGCGACTTCATCTTGGAGGCCACCTCGGCCGTCACGGTCTCGGGGGGAGAGCGGCGCTGGCGGATTTCGACCACTTCGGCGTTGGGGTCGCTGGGCAAGACGGTATATTTGGAGAGAATCTCAAAGATGGGGTCATCGATGAAGTTGCCGTCCAGCTCAACGCCGTCCTCGACCACGAGGTCGGCACTGGGCGGCTCAGCCGTTGACTGGGGCGCCGCAACGGCGCGGAGCGCAAGGAGCGCTGCGAGAAGATGAGGCTGCATGTTTTGCACTGTTGTTGATGCGTGTTCCTTTGGTTGTTCAGTGGTTGAAGTTGTTGAAGCTGTAGAGAGACTGTTGGTGCTGAATCGCTTGTCCTGGATAGCCGGCGACGCAGCTACTTATACCAGTTCGTCATGGGCAGTTCTTGCACCTCAAGTCGCCAAGTATTCTCGTGTCGTTACCTCATTCCATCATCAAGGCTCTCAACTTGCAGGTATTCGCAGCCGAGTCATGAGTTCACAGCTGAAATTGCCTACATTAGCTGTGTCATGCGATTGACTCCATGGCGCCGCTGACAAACAAAGAACTGACTCTGTTGCGATAATTAAAGGAGCCCTAGGAGAATTGCTATGCTAAAAACGTTGCGCAGCCATATCAAAGACCCGAAGACCCGAAGACCCGGATGCATGAGGATGGACAAAATGAGGAAATTAATGCTTAATTTTTATGCTGCCTCGCGCCCGTACCATGGTGATTTGAGAACAGCAGGAGGCTTGATTTCATACCATGGCGCACGAGTAATAGTTCTAGCGTGATAGATTTAGTATCCATGCTATCATCTTTGGACAGCTTAATCTGTCCGTCTTATCTAACGCTATCAAATCCCAAGTTGTCATAAATCTATTAGTAGCCCTTAACTATTAAGCCAAGTATCTTAACGACTAGCTAGGCAACTACTCCAAGTATCTAAACGCTAAAGAAAGAGAAACAAAACAAGAAAAGGAGATCAATATGTGAGCTCCTGAGCTCGACGCATATGGATCCCGGCAGTGCTGGTGCGTCCCGGGCCTCCCGGCAGTGCCGACCAGGAACGGGAGCCACACTAGGCGCAGCCCACTTGAACTACGACCGGACTTACTCCGTATATACATCCGTTATTGACGTTGAATTCATGATTGCATCTTCTACGTGTTCTTGTCGGGCGGGCAGACAAAGTCCCCCCTGCTAGCTTGCACGGGCACACGCTATTACTTGCACACTCTCCCGGGACCCGTGGCTCTACCGTGTCCACGGACTAATAGATTGGCGCGCGGCCTGGACAGTTGGGCATCAGCATGAGCAGTTGCCATGTTGCAGACTAAAATATCCGATAATCCGGTAAATGCCGGCCAAGTACGGTTAAGCGCCTGGCGCCATTTACCTCCTGTGTGATAGCTTAATTTAGAGGTAATCTCGTAGCATGTCAAAGTCCTTGGTTTTCCAAGAGAAAAACATGCTAGTAACTACGATATAACAAAAACGCGTGTGTCTTCGGTCCCTTACCGGTCAGGTGTTTATTGTGTAGCCGTGAGGTTCTTTGTCCCGATGCCCCTTTATTAGGCTTTGTTGGCTAGATCGAAGCCGTGTAGTATCCCGTTGGATTTCACGACCCTGTACAGTTGGTTGGAAGGACACCCTGCTGCCACGGCGACGGGCAGTGCCGATGACGAATCCACATGGAGTTTGCTGTTCCTGGCTGAACTTTGTCAAGTGTAATTTCTAATGCGCATGCAAAAGGGCAAACTAAAGGGCTGTAAGTGTCCGGCAGCGCCTGGTGTCTACGTAATGCGGGTTGTCACGACAAAAAGGGGCATCACCAATGGGAGATTTGCGCCTTGCATGAGGTCAGGGCATCCAGGATCTAAACTAGATAATGGGTGTATTTGATACGAGGAGAATTATTGCCATGTAGACTATTGATTCCAGGCGTTTCGTCGGCGTTTAGAAGTGGACTGATGGCCAACAAGGTGACGCCGTAACCAGACCCAAAGGGCGCCTAATTTACCGTCGCAATGCGGTCAATGTTATACAGCGTAGGGTTATAGTGTAACACTGTCTGGTGGCCAGAGCAAAAGAACTATCCTCTCTGGCTTTGGCACCGCATGGCAATAACTTTATCTAACCTTGATCCTAACCCTATATTAAGACCACAGGGGTGGGTTGGCGACGGTCCAGGAAAAGCATTAGGTGCGTCGAGAAACGCGAGCCCACTCCATGACCTGTTTTTAGTGGCTTGCGCGAAGAGAGCATTGATAAGTGATGCTTATCATATGATAACGTTGATGAATGCGAAACGAATCATGAGGGCTTCCCAGACGGATGAGACGGATGGTGGTTCCATGTTACCTATAGGCCACGTGATCAGTTGCCTGATGCGGTCAGGAATATTTAATATGGAGTCCAAGATTGTGGCGCAAGGCTGATCGCCGCGTCACTCGTCCCAGACTCCACACTTGGCTTCTCCACAGACCCAGTCAACAAGAATAAAGATAAAGCCCACTTGGCTGATTGGCTGGGCTCCTGGTGGCGGGGGATGTGTAAACGGTGCCAAAAACTTCAAAACCATCCACGGCCGGGGGGGGCATCGTATCATGGTTTATGAACTGAGCCTCGCCGGCTCAGAGGCGGCGTCGGTAGTTCAGGATGAGATTGTTGTTGCAACAGACCCCTAGATAGCCGGGATTAACAGCCGGCCCGATAAATGTGTGCATTTTAAATAACCACCGGAAATCGCGTTTTTGCACGACTGCTCGAGGCTGTTAAAAAAATCCTTAAATTTAAAGCCGAAAATACCGTATTACCGAGCGCGTTTCCATGGGTGGGCGGTTGATTTCCGAGAATTCCGGTCGTGACGGACATGAATGTCAAAGTTGACCTACGTAACTAGTATATATATCAATCCTTCTCTGTCAGTTCGCAGGAGATAATTACTAGCTACTGCAGTAGTTATATCATTATTGTTCTTCTAATTTGTATTTTAAAATATTGTCAACTAGATTTACTCCGCATACAATTATTCACTTGCATCACGATAAAGCCCCAAGTTTTAATAGTTATTACACTTATCAGAAGTGCGGCGGCTCTCCTATATAACCCTCCGACTAAAGGAGGCGTAGAGGCAATAGTACTTACGATATAAAGCGCATGATTTATAAGTTTCTAAACTAATAAAAAGTAGCTATTAACCACTTTTGAAGAGATATATGAGAAAAGCGATAAGGCGTATCCCATATCGCAAAAGGGGGAAATCACCCAAAAGCGAGCTTCGACATGGACGGGTTATTACAAGATATTAGGTGTGGAGAATAACGCTAGTGAAGAGGAAATCAGAAGAGCATACCGCAACTTACTTAAGAAGTATCACCCAGATAGGGCGGAACTGCTAGGTATAACTAAGGAGGAAGCAGAGAAGAAATTGTCTTCTTTCAATAAAGCATTCATTAGCATTATATCGGGCGTGCAACCAAGCACGGAGCCGTCGGTTTTTGATCGCGCAGCAGGCGCCAATCCTAAGTGGCAGTAATCGACTGGAAGCCCGATAATGACTCCGGATCTCGGCTGCGCTCTCGCCTCTATCGACAAGCTGCCAATGGCGGGACCCTCCAATAAGCGAGATTAACAGCGGCGAGCTTAAGGGCTCCTCGAGTCTCCCCTTTTGGTTCCTTCTTTCTTTTTCTTCTTCAGCTTTGGATATTTGTTAGAATTATCTAGTCTGTTGCCAAAATATATTTGTTTATTTATAACTAGAATGAAAAGGCGACTGGGGAGTTAGCGATGTTAGAGTTCAAGTTGCATGGAAGTAAGGTTACTACTAATGTAGTGTATTGAGTTCTTCTGCTTTAGCTTCCAGTCTTTCGTATTTAGCTATTGCTTCTGGGTCTGCCTTGATAGCTTCAAATTGAGTCCTTTTGCTCCAAGCCCTAAGTTAAGCCCTTGTCACAATGTTCCTGTTCTCACGCGGCTGAACCCCTGACTGGAGGTTTTTCTCCGTGTTATCCTCTTTTCCCAGTGCGAAGCACATTAGCCTGATATAAAAGCAGACGGCCGCATTCCTTGCGGAACATGATTATGCCTTATGGTTTGAGAAAGAGGTGACTTGGGAATCCCAGAAGAATGCCCGACCACTGCTTCGTGCCTCCTTCCTTCTCTGGGCAAGTTCACTAGCCTCCTGAAGCAGCGCGACGATATTCCTGTTGTCCGTCTTGGCCGCCCACGATAGAGGAGTCTGGCCATGACAGTCCTTAAAGCCCACGTCGGCGCCAGAGTCTAGAAGCAGTCTGGAAATCTCCTCGTGCCCCTTTTCGGCGGCCCACGAAAGCGGCGTCCGGTCGGTTTCCCTATCCGTTGGGTCGACTGCGGCCCCGTCCTTGAGCAAGAGCCTGACAATATTTTCGTAGCCCTTCTCGGCGGCCAGGGATAACAGCGTCCTGCCATTTTCATCCCTCACATCGAAACCAGCAAGGTCGCTGAGAAGTCGACCAACGATGGCATCATAACCATTGCGGCCCGCCAGTAACAGTGGTGTCTGGCCAGTATTATCTTCCACCTCAAAGTCAGACCCGCCATCAATAAGCAGATCAACAATATCCTTGTGCCCTCTCTCGGCTGCCCAAGCGAGCGGCGTCCATCCATGTTTGTTATCCCGTGTCTCAACATTGGCACCCCCTCGGAGCAGCAGCTTCACGACAGCCCCATGTCCTCTCTCAGCGGCCCAGGATAGCGGTGTCCGTTCATTCTTGGTATCCTTTGCCTCAACATAGGCGCCTTTTTTTAGCAGCAGCCTTACCACTTCTTTATGCCCGTTTTCTGCAGCCCATGATAACGGCGTCCGTCCGTCTTGGGTATCCTTTGACTCGATGTATGCGCCTTTATGGAGAAGTAGCTTCATCACGGCCACGTGCCCGTTCTTAGCGCATAATAATAACGGCGTCCAACCAGACGTGTTTATTGTTTCGATATCGGTGCCCTGGTCTAGCAGCAGCCATGTTAGGACTTCGTGCCCATTCTCAGCAGCCCATAATAACGGCGTTTGCCCATTTATGGTATGCTCTGCCTCGATGGTCGCGCCTTTCTCGAGAAGCAATTGCACCACGGCCTCGTGCCCCATCTTGGCTGCCCAATATAGCGGCGTCTGACTATTTTTGTCTTTGGTGTAGATGTCGGCTCCCTTTTGTAGCAACAGCCTGACAAGACCCTCGCGCCCGCTCTCGGCGGCTTGCGAGAGCGACGTCCGACCGTACCGGCCGTCCTTGGCCTCGATATTAGCACCTTTCTGTAGAAGCAGACTAACAACGGCCTCATGCCCGTTCTCGACGGCCCACGAGAGCGGCGTCTGACCGCGCTGGCTGTCCTTGGTTTCGATATTGGCACCTTGATCGAGAAGTAAACTAACAACGGCCTCGTGCCCATTCTCGGCAGCCCAAGAGAGCGGTGTCCGGCCGCCCTGGCTGTCCATGGCCTCAACGTTGGCACCCTTCTCGAGAAGCAGACGAATAACGGCCTCATGCCCGCTCTGAGCGGCCCACGATAGCGGTGTCCGACTCTCTTTGTCATCGTCCTCCTTGATTTTGGGGCTCCCTTCAAGTAAAAGATTGACGATAGGAAGATGGCCATAGTATGAAGCCAACATAAGATTCGTCAAATTCCCAGTGATTTCCGCAGACATAGTTTTCCTGTAAATTTCAAACCATACCGCATAGCTCCTTGAATTGGAATCGCAAATTTTGAGAACACGTGATTTAACTGCAGCGTTGTCGGTAATATTGGCTTGGCGAAGGTGAGATCCCCAATTTTTGGCCGAGTAGTTTAAGAAGGCGTACCTGGGGGTGGGTTTGTCTGCTTCACCAATAGCCTCCTTTGGAGGCTGAGGATCGGCATTGAGTAAGTTCAAATACAGCACGCAGGCCTCCGCCAGTGTACTGTGTGCCTGCATGAGACTGGTGGAATGCTCGCGACGCTCTGATGGGATTGGTGAGGTTAATGACGCGTCAGCGAGAAGGAACTCGCGAGCAGTTTCATGACGGAAATAAATACTGCCTTTGTAAATTGAGATGAATGATCCACACATAGATTGAAGCCGTGTCTTCAAGTCTTCCTCATTTTGTAAGTCAATATCGTGAATAGACTTGACTGTATCATGTAAACTCATGGCAATATTCACCTCTGAGACGGTCAGTAGCCGATTTGCTGCTAGGATAAGATTTAGAACTTTGAGGGCTGTTGGTTGTTCCTGAGCCTCAAGCGAATCAAAAATCAGCCCATATACCCTTGGAACACCTATCGGAAGTTTTGCTATATAATGGTCGATCGCTCTCGGTGAATTTTCCAAGTCTTGTCTTTCTAAATATTCGAACGCAAGGCGTATCCAGAGGTGAGAACTATCATGTTTCCCCTATAATATCCTGTCAGGAGGGTTTTTATAATAGTAAAGTACCTAGGGAGATAGCGTTTTTAGCCTTATAATAAACTAATAATTAACTAAGTATAAAATAATAATTTTATTTAT